GCCACCGGAGGAGGGGAACCCTATCCCCTCCCGTCCTGGAGAATCCACGGGCACCGGAGGAGCCCTGCAGCCCAACGAAGAGCACCAAACCAGCTTGACCACACGCCCAGGAGGACACCGCCGTCGCTGGAGACACGCCGCCGCCGCCGACACACTCCACCTACACCACAACGAAGCCCACAATCCATCTTTGTTCCCAAAACAACGCCTTCAAGAAGGTTACGGCGCCCTGGGCGTCGCCGCTGCCCAACAAAGTTGAGGATTTCACCCGGGAAACAAAGGGGAGGGGGGTAGGGGGCAGGACCTGACCGGCGCCTCCAGGAAGGTGAGCGGCACCCGCGAGTGTCGCCGCCGTCGCAGCCGACACGGCTGGCTAGGGGTTTCCCCCGGTCCTGCAGCCCCGTCGCCCACTCCCACCCGCAGAAGACCGCGGAAGTGCGGATCTGAGGGGGGAGGCGCTCGTTGGGGAAGAAGGGGAGTGGAGGCGGCCAGATCTGACGCGACAGGAGACGAATCCGCCGCCGCCGCGCGCCGACCCGCAACCACCGGGGCTCTCGCCGCCCGCACGGCCGAGAGAACACCGACCCGCACCCACGCCACCGGGAGCCGAAGCCGGCGGCGCCACACCTGCTGGGGCCGCCGCCCCGGATCCAAAGGCCCCCCGCGGGAGGCGAGGTGGTGAGGGCCCCGCCGCCGCCTTCATCAGCAGTGGGCCGAGCTTGCTCGGCAGCCGCTGCCTCAGGCGGCGGCGAGGGAAGGGCGAGGAGGGGAGGAGGACGGCGGGGCTAGGGTTTTCGCCCCTCGGGTCGCCCAAGCAGGGCGACACGAGGGAGGGGAGGGGCCAGGTGTTTTCCCTATGTAGCCCATGTTGTGTGGGTTCTAGCCTCAAATGATCAGCCCATCTCTAAGCCCAGGCCCAGGTTACAACATATAGTGGCAGCCCATAGGTGGGGTGTTACAGATCCAGATCAAGCAGCTGGAGATGGTGGTGCTTACGAGACTGAGCACCAACTCTGGGCGCTGGACCAGGACCAGGTACCACTCCCCGCCAAGGCGGAAGATGATCCTGATCACGAGCCATGAAATTGTTGATGATTGCTGCAACATATCTCTGGAAAAAATTGTTGAATGTGTTTGTATGCCTGCACCTATGCATGCTAGACGTTGTATGCCCACCAAGGGAAACATGCAAAAAAAAAACAGAAATATCAGCTTCCTGAACAAATCAAAACGGAGAAGAAAAAATATCTGAGTATGTGAAAGAAATGCAACTGAGATGGTCACTTCTTTTTTCCTCTACTAGTTGTGTGTTAAGAGGCAGCTGCATTGTTGATGTTTTATCTGAAAAAACTGAACCTATGCATGCAAGATGCTTTGATTTTCAGTAGGATGCAAATGCTGTCATTCCCTGTATAAATAACTGAAACCTGAAGATGGACTGAGAGACAGAGCCTAATGATAATAAGAATGAGAGACAGACTCATACATGGTGACACTTGGGAGAATACTTATGACTGAATATTGTCTGAAAACATAAAACAATGAAAATGACTGAAAATAATTGACAGCGCTGATAAGGGAACTACATACATGAATGAAAGTAATTCAATAACTGATAGGCTGAATATACACTGGAAAATAAATAGAAGAAAGTAAAGAGTCAAGGGAGGTGAGTGGTTCGTTTGACACTTACTACGCCCACGCGTGTAATAGTGGATCCCGTCAACAAAACAAAAAACAAAGAACAATAGTCCAACCTCCAAGTCACTGATGCTAACCGAATTTAGCATGGAAAGAAAAAAGTTTGTGGCAAAAAATGTTTCAGTGCTTGCTTGAAAAAATTTAAGACTGAAAAAAATGAGTGCTCCAGTAAGCTTTGTGCACCTGCAAAAACTGAATGCCGGATGTTGCTCTCTAACTGAACTGAGCTAAAGGGGACCAAAAACTGAACTTGAACAAAACTGAAATGACAACTGCTCTATCGTCTATAACTGAACTTGAACTGAACAAAATAACCACTGCTGCCCAGAATTGTAAACTAATGGAACAGAAAACTGAATTAAATTATAACTATTTGCCCATAATTAAACAAAACTGAATGCCAAAAATGATCCAGAAATGTACATAGCTGATAGACTGATAGCCAACTTGTGAATGTGTAGGAAACCTTCAAGCCCAAAGATCTGCCTTGAGCCCTGCCGACAACATGCAGCTCCTTCTTGGCCAGCGGGCTTGTTGGCGTTGGCCCCGCAAAAACATGATTTTGCAAGTTGTATCTCTGATTACACAGCATGTATCTGACCATGGTGGGATTCGACGCCACTGAGACCCCATTCAATTCATTTCCCAGCTATGTATGTGATTTGGATAATGAAGACTAAAGTACTGAAATGATATATGTATAGTCCTTGAAAACTGATAAACTGAATATTGACTGAAGAAACGACAATATTAAAGATAACACCCACTGATCCAGTATCATGTATTGTCACTGCATGTGGGCCTCAAGTTAGAATTGCTCGATGAAAAGGGCTACATACATAGAAATGTTGCTAAAGGAAAAATAGATGCAGAGAAGATAGCAACAGGGAAAATGAGGTGGGTTGCCTTTTCATTTAGAAGGGGAAAACTGAGTGGATGTAAGTACAATACAATGAATATGACTGTACAAAATAACACTGAATATGACTAAAAGAAGAACACTGAATTGAACTGAAGAAATACGGGGCTGGTGGGATCTTCCCCTATAGACTCCGAAAATTCATCGTGTACCTTTCCCCGTAAATGTGCAAGATTTGGACCACTGCCAAGCCTTCTACTACTACTACTACTACTTAGGAGATCAAATGGTATATTTCAGAGATTGGACTCTCTTACTGTGTTTTTTCAGGGCTGTTCCTGAGCCTTCGTAGTTGTCGCAATCACTTCAAGCAGTGGAAAGAACAAAAAATGTGCGAATGAGTAATGAAGAAAGAACGCTGAATAATGACTCAAGAAATAAACCTAAGAGATAATGCAAACAAAAACTGAACAAAATTCAAACTGAATAATACAAAAAGTAACTGTACATAATTGAATATAAACAAATGACTAAAGGTCTGCAAAAAAATGTCAGGACGCAGATAACCGAATTAAACGTTAAGAAAAACAAATGTTAAGAAACTAAGATGAATTAAATGTTAAGAATATCATAACAAGAAATGCCCGAAAAGAAGGGACTGAAAACTTGTAAACAAAATTGACTGAAGAAAAAAAATACTATAAACTGAGGAATCCAAACTAAAAATGACAAGTACTGAAGACATAAATAAGAAAGTAAAGAAGTAAAACTAAATAAACTTGAGACTAAGAAGAGGACAAAACTGAATTTGACTGAAATAAAGATTACAGAGTTACGCCAATCAAAATTACTAATGTAGTAATGCTCAAATCTTTCAGGATGCCCTTGATCAGCATGTTCACAATATATACTTTTGGCTGAGTATGAACAAAAAATGTTAAATGGTTGCAAATTTGCAGGATGCCAAGAATGATTATGTCCAACCTGGAGTCCTGGAGGGAAATAAAAAGGAAGCGCAAAGGAAGAAGGGTCGTAGTTGGGTTGGTAGCCACCGCTCGATGACCTCTGAGGCTCTGAGCCGTAGAGTCCCTAGACCTTTCTGCAGAAACAAAAAAGCACATGTTATGTAGCGGATAGATGGAATGTAAAATGGGAGATTTACTAGCAGCATAGGTAATGAACAGCCAAAGAATAAGGCCAACAGAACCATATAAACATTACTATGCTAGTGAGACGTTGCCTCAAAATGATTAAGTACTAATCAAATATAAACACCCCTTGAAACAAAAGTTCGCATAAAAAACATTCAGAGGACACTGCAGGAACATATTAAACAAGAAAGTGCAGACATCGTGTCCTGCAGCAAACCCGTTCTCTAAATAAGGAAATACAAAGGAACTGGCTGCCATTAGAATCATTCACTAAGATCTAAACACATGTAATGTGCGAGCTCCCTCCTTGCTACTGCTGAGAAAAAAAGGTAACAAACACATACTGAATGACCTGAGGATCATGAAGCCACTATTCTCCTGCATCGCCCCCTGCATTACTGCTTGTTATACTATTATCTACTCCCTCCGTTCCTAAATATAAGTCTTTGTAGAGATTCCACTATGGACTACATACGGAGCAAAATGAGTGCATCTACACTCTAAAATATGTCCATATACATCTGTATGTAGTTTGTAGTGGAATCTTCAAAAAGACTTACATTTAGGAACGGAGGGATGTATTATGGCATAACATATTTGGAGGAATTCTCCCTAACTGCTGCTGAGAAAGAAGATAACAATACATACACTAAATGCCCTCCCAGGAAAAACACACTTAACTGAATCTGCTAGAACTGATTACATCTCATGAGAAAAAAACCCTGAGTAGGTCTCATAATCCCCTTAATCAGCATAGAAAACTGACAAAAATGCCAGACACATTACCCCCCAGAATTCAATAAACACAAAAAGCACTATGAGATAAGTCTGCATAAACTGAATCTGCAACCTGACACAAAAGGCACTATGAAAACTGAACGAACAAAGCCTGAAATAAATCCAGGAAAAGCGAGCACCGGTGGCAAGTCTAAGACTTTATCTCTGGTGGGCTGGTTTCACCACAAAGAACCTGAGCATCTCATCCATGCTCACTGTTCGCATATGACTGGCTATTAGGATGTTATTTTGTGTAGACAGATATAATGCATAGGCACTATTAGGATGTTGTCATGCAGGGATTCCACATAGTATCATGGCAACTGTACATGTTTATTAAACAGATATATGTGTGCTCACAGCAGCTTTGAACAAACAGGGGCCACTCAGACAATCTGATAATGGTTTCTGTTACTAAGTTACAGATACAAAAGAGGAGCAAACACACTTCTGGTACTACAACAGACCATCAAACACTGATGGAGGTCGTGTCTATCGGTACTTTCAGTCCATCACACTAGAGAACCAGTAGCATCAGCAGCTGCCCATGTGGAGTGGGCATAGAGCACCCGGCCTTTCCATCCTTGCAGAAGCCACCGATGATCCTCGCAGATCATGAAATGCTTGTGGTACCGATTCTTCACTTCGTCCTTGAGAATCAGAACAATATCAGGGTCCAATGGCAGCTGCCTTAGCCCCGCTGGCTGGTTCCGCGTCTGCCACTCCTTGTAGTTCTGAGGGCGCTCCACCCGGTCTGTGCCTTCACATGCGATCCTATTTATGGCAGACCGTGCAAATATGTCCCGCTCCACCAGAAGTCTCTTGGCGACCCATGGAACGGTGGTCTCCATCATATCGAACAACGCCGAGAAGTAGTAGAGCGCATGGCGGAACCGCGTCATAAAGAACGCCGCGCTGTATGGTCCATTGACGACGGAACTGACGAACACAGACGGCCTCATCTTACTGATAGTGTTGAGTACCATGTCCCTTGGGCTTAGCATGTCAGAGGTGAGGCTCTCGTCCATCAAGGTCCTGAACTCGTATAGGCTGCTCACGACCAGGACCTCATCTGGATCGATGTGCAGGTCCTCAGCCCGGACATCCTCCAGCTTGGATGCGATGGCGCGGAACTTGAATGGCACGCCGAACTGGCTTGCGTAATTGTTGAGCCGGTGCCCTGCCTCCTCCATTAGTGCAGCCGGACAGGGCCCGGGCTGAGGGGTGTTGATGCCGGTGATCCTCACTTCTGGTGGCCCACCCTCCCTATTCGCCAGTAACCCGAGCAAGTCCGGCCACTGAAACCCGGTGCTGATGCCGTAGTGCACAATGTGCAGTTTCCTCCTCCCTGCAACGGCCTTGTAGATGGTGTTGGTGGAAAAGAACAACCCCACCTTGATCGAACAGCTCGCGGCCGTGTGCAGATGGTAGGCCCTGATGAGCTCCACGGCTGAGGTGCGCTTCCCCATGAGCGATCGGTACAGTCGGCTCCCCGTGCCAGCCAGCCGTGCCTCCAGCCCCTGGGCAAAGTAGTGCGCCAGCCGCTGCCTAGCGTCCCCTCTCGGCGATGAGTGACACTTGATCCGCTCCAGCAGCTTGCTCGCGCCGCACATGTCGCTGCTGGCCACTGCTTCTGCACAGCGGGTCAGCAGAGTCTCTAGGTCAGTCACCACCGTATGCCTCGCCGCGCACCTCCCACGCCTGGAGATGCTCTGCCGTGCTGCGTTGTCCTCCTTGTCCTCCCAGGTGACACGTACTACCTCCTGCATCTCGCTCGGGGACGCTTCGTAGCCGTTGAGGATGAGCCGGTCCAACATCTCCAGCGCGGTGGCTTCCTCCTCTTCCTCCTCCTCCTCCTCCAAGGCACTATGCAGCACCACAACTATTTGCTTGCTGCTCCTGCCCAAGCCCGCCTCCATCTCACCATCCATGTCAGATCTCTTCTTACGCCCCCTACCATCCATCATCACATCATCTGCGGGCAAGAACCTGTTGGCGTCCTCCATGCCATTGAAGAATGCCATACTCATACTCGATAGCATGTTCATGTTGGTGCTGCTCTCGCTGGGAAACACCATACTATTGGGCTCCACTGTGCCTGTGCAGTTCAATAAGGCAGGATCCTGTACCTGGCACCCGGAAACCATGACGTCTGTGTTGTTTCCTTGGCTGGGCATCAATATGGAGGTGGAGTCGGCAAAGGACTCCTGGTCAGCGGTGGGTGAGGTGTTGGCGAGGATCTCGGCAAAGGACTGCTCGGCCTGCAGGAGCTTCGGGTGGTCAGGGTACTGGTAGAAGAACTTATCGACGATGTCCTCCTCTGTGAGCACGCGCGAAATGTATTCCAGGGCCAGGTCATTCTGTGAGTCACCATGGGTCATCGGAGGAAGGTCGAGGAAGAGGGAGGGGAACAATGGTGCAGGCTCGGCGAGGCCCAACAACTCCTCCGGTGTGGCAGCCATAGTGGAGTGTATGCTGTTCCTGATGGTGCAGTGACAATATCTTGGATTTGGATTGGATATATCATTTCCTACTCCATCCATTCCATGTGAAGCCAACATGTACAACGTACAGTACGTTGCTGTCTATTGTAACCATCGTAGCTTCACATTTCACATGGTTAGTTTAACCATCCGCCGGCCTACCGGCTTCTACACATATAGGCAAAGAGATGCTTTTGAGAAAGGCCATATCCATCTTGTTGTCGCAGCCGGCCTTCTGTCCTTGTCTGATCAGAAGCAGGCAACTTTCTTGTAGACATCAATTTATGTTTTAAAATGTCAGGCTGTTGTGAGTTCACGTGTAGTAGCACTAGCAGGTAAAATCATTAAAAGATCTCTAGTATTATCCTGAAAATTGATTAGTTCACATGTAGTAGCAAGTTTTTCTAGATGCATTAACCTGTAACCATGTTCAGTTATGCTTCTTTCCTGCTCCACACTTGGACACCTGCAAGTAGGCAAATGGATTTGTAAGATGAGAACGCAGAGAAAGAAATTGAATTCAAGACATTTCAGCCATCATTTTTCTTTGAACAATGCGGGAAACAAGACAGAGACATTTAGCATGCGCATGCGGCAGTGGCACCCTGTGGAATTATTCATATTCGTGTCTAAGAGCGAAATTTAAGATGTTTGAAGGAAACAGGAGGGGATGCCCCAGCTGTATCTTATACTAATGTCCATAACATTAATAACCTCTCCTACGCAGAAAATGTATCAGAAGGACAATATATCGGGACGACACTTCTTTATAAAAGGGACATCATGTGCTCTGTCAAAAGTAAGCAATGAAATAATCAGAAGTTCTCGGACCTTCATCTTCCTTACCAGGGTCACACAAATCCATCAGGCCATGACAGAGAGTTCAGATGGTTCCTGTGAACATCCAAAACTCTGCATCAAACAATAAAACGAGTATGCAACTAGTTCAAACAACACACAACTCTATATATATTTATCTTACACAGTTGAGTACAAGAAAAGAGCTACGAAAATGATTCAAGCTGTCAGATAAGTATTGGATGTGTCAAATGCATCTTTCAGGTTGAGAGCATAAACCACACCACAAACAGTATAGTACTAATATCATATCTGCTTATGTTCAACTGTAGGAAAATACTACAGTTAACAGTGGGAGCTACCACCGTCTGCCTTCCATGTTGAGTGAGCCAAGAGGATGCGACCCTTCCACCCCTGCAGCAGCCATTGGTGATCCTCGTTGATGACAAAGTCCTTGTGGTATTCATTCTTTACCATGTCCCTAGCCATCTTAACAGTTTCGCTGTCCAGTGGCAGCTGCCTCAGGCCTGCCCGTTGGTTTCTGACTTGCCAATGCTTATAGGTCTCACCACGCTCCACCCGGTCCTTTCCCTCGTATGCGATGGCATTCAGGACAACCGGAGAGACATTTAGCATGTGGCAGTGGCACCCTGTGGCGTTATTCATATTCATGTCTAAGAGCAAAATTTAAGATGTTTGAAGGAAACAGGAGGGGATGCCCCAGCTGTATCTTATACTAATGTCCATAACATTAATAACCTCTCCTACGCAGAAAATGTATCAGAAGGACAATATATCGGGACGACACTTCTTTATAAAAGGGACATCATGTGCTCTGTCAAAAGTAAGCAATGAAATAATCAGAAGTTCTCGGACCTTCATCTTCCTTACCAGGGTCACACAAATCCATCAGGCCATGACAGAGAGTTCAGATGGTTCCTGTGAACATACAAAGCTCAACTTCAAACTCTGGAGACTGAACATCCAAAACTCTGCATCAAACAATAAAACGGGTATGCAACTATGACTAAAAGAAGAGCATTGAATTGAACTGAGGAAATATGAATGAGTAAAAATAATGAGAAATGAAGAAAGAACGCTGAATAATGACTGAAAAAATAAACCTAAGAGATAATACAAACAAAAACTGAACAATACAAAAAGTAACTGAACATAACTGAATATAAACTAATGACTAAAGGCCTACAAAAAATGTCAGGACTGAGATACCGAAATCAAAAATTAAGAAAAACAAATGTTAAGAGACTAAGAAACTAAGATGAATTAAATGTTAAGAAAATCAGAACAACAAATGACTGAAAAGAAGGGTCTGAAAACTTATAAACTGAACTGACTGAACAATACTATAAGCTGAGGAATGCAAACTAAAAATGACAAGTACTGAAGACATACATAAGAAAAACTGCAGGACTAAAACTAAATAGACTTGAGACTAAGAAGAGGACTGAGAGGAACACTGAATTTGACTGAAATAAAGATTACTGAGTTACGCCAATCAAATTACTCATGTCGTAATGCTCAAATCTTTCAGGATGCCGTTGATCAACATGTTCAGAATATAATACTTCTAGTTGAACATGAACTAAAAATGTTAAATGGTTGCAAATTTGCAGGATGCAGAGAATGAGTATGTCTAACGTGGAGACCTGGAGGAAAAAAAAAGGAAGTGCGAAGGAAGAAAAGGATAGATGCAAAAAAAGGGCTGGCACTACTTCGTCACTTGATGCTGTGCTATCCTCAAAGCTGTCGCTATTACAACAGGGTCGTAGTTGGGTTGGTAGCCACCGCTCGATGACCCCTGGGCCATAGAGTGCCCAGATCTTCTGCAGAAACAAAAAGCACATGTTATGTAGCAGATGGATGTAATGTAAAATGGAGGATTTCCTTGCAGCAGAGGTAGTGTACAGTCAAAAAATAAGGCCAACAGAACCATATAAACATTACTATGCTAGTGAGACGTTGCCTCAAAACGATTAATTACTGATCAAATAGTAACACCCCTTGAAACAAAAGTTCACATAAAAAACATTCAGAGGATGCTGCAGAAACATATCAAACAAAAAAGTGCAGACATCTTCGTTTCCTGCAGCAAACCAATTCTCTGAAAATATAAATACATAGTAACTGGCTGCCATTAGAAGCATTCACTAAGATCTTGAAACACATATAATGTGCGAGTTCCCTCCTTGCTACTTTTGAGAAAAAAAGGTAACAGACACATATACTGAATGACCTGAGGATCATGAAGCCACTGTTCTCCTGCATCGCCACCTGCGTTACTGCTTGTTATATAATTATGCCATAACAATATTGGAGGAATTCTCCTGACTGCTGCTGAGAAAGAGGATAACAATACATAATCTGAATGTGCTCCGAGGAAAAACACACTAAACTGAACCTGCATAGAACTGACTAAATCTCATGAGAAAATAAACCTGAGCAGGTCTCATAATCCCCTGAATCAGCATAGAAAACAGACTAAAATGCCAGACACATTACCCCCACAGAATTCAATAAACCAAAAAAAAAGCACCATGAGCTAAGTCTGCATAAACTGAATCTGCAACCTGACACAAAAAGCACTATGAAAACTGAACCCCTTCACAAGACCTGACTAGCTCTCGATAAAAAAATAACTGAAAAATCAGTGCCCATTCACCTTTGTCCTGGATTCAAAAACGCAGCGGCACTATCTAATCACTTGTCACAAACTGAACCACGAAACAGTATCTTCGTGCAGTGACAAAAGGCACTGAATCCCCCTGATATGCCTGGTTCCCCATTGAAATTAGTGATGAACCCCTGATATACCCGGTGACACAATGTCTGGACGCAAATAATGTATCGAAACACAACAGAGGTGCTGAGTTTCTCAAAGACATTTGCCTGGCAGAGAGGCGAATAAGTGACAAGGGGGGCAGCGGGAGAGCCAAGAGAGATGTCTGCAACAATGCGGCATGGGTCGATTCTACGCTGAGCAGAGACTGAGAGAAATGGTGGCGGCTGCACGAGGAGAAGCTCGCCGTACCTGTCTCTTGGCCGGCGATGACCTGGGTTCCGCCCCCGCAGACCACCAAACGCTTGTTCGCACATGACCGGCTATTAGGATGTTGTTTTGCGTAGACAGATATGATGCATAGGCGCTATTAGGACGTTGTCATGCAGGGATTCTACATACTGTCATGGCAATTTTACATGTTTATTCAACAGAGATATGTGTGCTCACAGCAGCTATGAACAAACAGGGGCCACTCAGACAATCTGATAATGGTTTCTGTCACTAAGTTACAGATACAAAAGAGGAGCAAACACACATCTGGTACTGCAATAGACCATCAAACACTGATGAAAGTTGCGTCTATCGGTACTTTCAGTCCATCACACTAGAGAGCCAGTAGCATCAGCAGCTGCCCATGTGGAGTGGGCATAGAGCACCCGACCTTTCCATCCTTGCAGAAGCCACCGGTGATCCTCGCTGATCATGAAATGCTTGTGGTACCTATTCTTCACTTCGTCCCTGAGCATCAGAACGATATCAGGGTCCAATGGCAGCTGCCTTAGCCCCGCTCGCTGGTTCCGCGCCTGCCACTCCTTGTAGTTCTGAGGGCGCTCCACCCGGTCTGTGCCTTCACAGGCGATCATGTTTATGGCGGACCGTGCAAGTATGTCCCGCTCCACCAGAAGTCTCTTGTCGCCATCCCATGGGACGGTGGTCTCCATAACATCGAACAACGCCGTGAAGTAGTAGAGCGCATGGCGGAACCGCGTCATAAAGAACGCCGCGCCGTATGGTCCATTGACGACGGAACTGATGAACACAGACGGCCTCATCTTCCTGATAGTTTTGAGTACCATGTCCCTTGGGCTTACCATGTCAAAGGTGAGGCTCTCGTCCATCAAGGTCCTGAACTCGTATAGGCTGCTCACGACCAGGACCTCATCTGGATCGATGTGCAGGTCCTCAGCCCGGACATCCTCCGGCTTGGATGCGATGGCGTGGAACTTGAATGGCACGCCGAACTGGCTCGCGCAATTGTCGAGCCGGTGCCCTGCCTCCTGCATCAGTGCATCCGGACAGGGCCCGTGCAGAGGGGTGTTGATGCCGGTGATCCTCACTTCCGGTGGCCCACCCTCCCTATTCGCCAGCAACCGGAGCAAGTCCGGCCACTGAAACCCGGTGGTCATGCCGTAGTGCACAATGTGCAGTTTCCTCCTCCCTGCAACGGCCTTGTAGATGGTGTTGGTGGAAAAGAGCAACCCCACCTTGATCGAACAGCTCACGGCCGTGTGCAGATGGAAGGCCCTGATGAGCTCCAAGACTGAGGTGCGCTTCCCCATGAGTGATCTGTACAGTCGGCTCCCCGTGCCAGCCAGCCGTGCCTCCAGCCCCTGGGTGAAGTAGTGCGCCAGCCGCTGCCTAGCGTCCCCTGTCGGCGACGAGTGACACTTGATCCGCTCCAGCAGCTTGCCCGCGCCACGCACGTCGTTGCTGACCACTGCTTCTGCACAGCGGGTCAGCAGAGTCTCTAGGTCAGTCACCACTGTATGCCTCGCCCCGCGCCTCCCACGCCTGGAGATGCTCTGCCGTGCTGCCTTGTTCTCCTTGTCTTCCCAGGTGACACGTACTACCTCCTGCATCTCGCTCGGGCATGCTTCGTAGCCGTTGAGGATGAGCCGGTCCAACATCTCCAGCGCGGTGGCTTCCTCCTCCTCCAAGGTAGTAGTACTATGCAGCAGCACCACTATTTGCTTGCTGCTCCTGCCCAAGCCCGCCTCCGCCTCACCATCCATGCCAGACCTCTTCTTACGCCCCCTACCATCCACCATCACATCGTCTGTGGGCAAGAACATGTTGGCCTCCTCCATGCCTTTGAAGAATTCCATGCTCGACAGCATGTTCATGCTGGTGCTGCTCTCGCTGGGAAACACCATACTATTGGGCTCCACCGTGCCTGTGCCGTTCAAGAAGAAGACTGGATCCTGTACCTGGCACCCGGAGACCATGACGTCCGTGCCTGTACCATCCACCATCACATCGTCTATGGGCAAGAACATGTTAGCCCCCTCCATGCCTTTGAAGAATTCCATGCTCGACAGCATGTTCATGCTGGTGCTGCTCTTGCTGGGAAACACCATACTATTGGGCTCCACCGTGCCTGTGCCGTTCAAGAAGAAGACTGGATCCTGTACCTGGCACCCGGAGACCATGAAGTCCGTGTTGTTTCCTTGGCTGGCCATCAAGATGGAGGTGGAGGAGGCAAAGGACTCCTGGGCGGCGGATGATGAGGTGTCGGCGAGGATCTCGGCAAAGGGCTGCTCCGCCTGCAGGAGCTTCGGGTGGTCAGGGTACTGGTAGAAGAACTTGTCGACGATGTCCTCCTCCGTGAGCATGCGCGAAATGTATTCCAGGGCCAGGTCATTCTGTGAGTCACCATGGGTCGTTGGAGGAAGGTCGAGGAAGAGGGAGGGGGACAGTGGTGCAGGCTCGGCGAGGCCCAACAACTCCTCCGGTGTGGCAGCCATAGTGGAGTGTATGCTGTTCCTGATGGTGCAGTGACAATATCTTGGATTTGAAGTGGGTATATCATTTCCTACGCCATCCATCCATTCCATGTGAAGACAGCAACTACATCGTACAGTATGTTGCTGTCTATTGGAACCATCGTAGCTTCACATTTCACATGGTTAGTTTAACCATCCGCCGGCCGGCCGGCTTCTGCACATATGGGCAAAGAGAGGCCTTTGAGAAAGACCATGTCCATCTTGTTGTCACAGCCAGCCTTCTGTCCTTGATCAGAAGAGGTCAACTTTCTTGTAGACATCTACTTATGTTTTAAAATGTCAGGCTGTTGTGAGTTCGCGTGTAGTAGCAGTAGCACTGGCAGGTAAGATCATTAAAAGATCTCTAGTATTATCCTGAAAATTGATTAGTTCACATGTAGTAGCAAGTTTTTCTAGATGCATTTAACCTGTAACCATGTTCAGTTATGCTTCTTTCCTGCTCCACGCTTGGACACCTGCAAGTAGGTAAATGGATTTGTAAGATGAAAACGCAGAGAAAGAAATTACAAATTCAAGATATTTCAGTTATCCTTTTTCTTTGAACAATGCAGGCAACCGGAGAGACATTTAGCATGTGGCAGTGGCACCCTGTGGCGTTATTCATATTCATGTCTAAGAGCAAAATTTAAGATGTTTGAAGGAAACAGGAGGGGATGCCCCAGCTGTATCTTATACTAATGTCCATAACATTAATAACCTCTCCTACGCAGAAAATGTATCAGAAGGACAATATATCGGGACGACACTTCTTTATAAAAGGGACATCATGTGCTCTGTCAAAAGTAAGCAATGAAATAATCAGAAGTTCTCGGACCTTCATCTTCCTTACCAGGGTCACACAAATCCATCAGGCCATGACAGAGAGTTCAGATGGTTCCTGTGAACATCCAAAACTCTGCATCAAACAATAAAACGAGTATGCAACTAGTTCAAACAACACACAACTCTATATATATTTATCTTACACAGTTGAGTACAAGAAAAGAGCTACGAAAATGATTCAAGCTGTCAGATAAGTATTGGATGTGTCAAATGCATCTTTCAGGTTGAGAGCATAAACCACACCACAAACAGTATAGTACTAATATCATATCTGCTTATGTTCAACTGTAGGAAAATACTACAGTTAACAGTGGGAGCTACCACCGTCTGCCTTCCATGTTGAGTGAGCCAAGAGGATGCGACCCTTCCACCCCTGCAGCAGCCATTGGTGATCCTCGTTGATGACAAAGTCCTTGTGGTATTCATTCTTTACCATGTCCCTAGCCATCTTAACAGTTTCGCTGTCCAGTGGCAGCTGCCTCAGGCCTGCCCGTTGGTTTCTGACTTGCCAATGCTTATAGGTCTCACCACGCTCCACCCGGTCCTTTCCCTCGTATGCGATGGCATTCAGGACAACCCACCCAAAGACGGCGCGCTCCAGCGCCAGTCGCAGTTTGCTCTCCCGTGGCATGGTTGCATCAAGCATGTCAAACAGTGCAGAGTAAAAGAAGAGGGCCCCTCGGAACCGTGACAAGAAGAAGGTGCCATGGGAGCCATTCACGGTGCTTTGGACAAACACGTCCGGTTTCATCTTGCTGATGTTGCTGAGGACAACATCGCGGGGGTTCGGGCTGCCCATGACGACACACTCATCCATTAAGGTCCTGAAGTTGTACAGGTCATTCACAGCAAGCACCTCATCCGGTTCCAGGTCCAGGTCCTCGATGCAAACGGTCTGCCACTCTGCCAAGATGGCACGGTATTTGAATGGCACACCAAGCTCTCGGGCAATATCAGTCAGCCGATTACCGATCTCCTCCATATGTTTTCCTGGGTGGAGTCCGGGCTGCGGGAGGTCGATGTGGGTGATCCTGACTTCTGGCGAGCCACCATCCCTTGCTGCCAGCCAGCGCAGAAGTTCTGACCACTGGAATCCATAAGAAAAGCCATAATCAACGATGTGCAACCTGCTCCTCCCCACTGCCGCATTGAAGATGGCCCTGTTGGCGAACAAGAAGGATACATTCCTGAAGCAGCACGTTGAAATGAATACTTGGTAAGCCTCTGAGTGCGCCATGGCAGAGGTAGCCTTCGCGGTAAGCATCCCATACACCTGGCTGCCTGTGCCGGTGAGCCGTGACTCCAGACCCTCAGCGAACCAGTAGGCAAGCCGCTGTGTGCCGTCACCAATGGGTGAGGAGTACTGCTGGATCTCCATGAGCAACTCACCTGCCCTCCGGCGGTCATCCACCACCGCCTTGGCACAGTGGATCAGCAGCGTGTGCAGGTCAATCACCCGCGCCTTGCTCTTTCTCCCCTTCTTGTTACTGTTCCCAGACTCATTGTCCATGGAACTGCACATTTGATCGAAGTCGAACACCTCGCAGGCACGAGCTTCGACTAATCTGTTCGTCCTACTGACATCAGCCTCCACCTCGTCGCTCGAGTCCTTGTGGCCGATGCCACTTTTCTCTTTCGGTTGGTCCTGCTTGTTAGAGTTATAATATAAGTCATGTACCCCTTTGTATTTATCCCGTTGTATAAGGGGTTTCCTGCATATGTTCCACACCTGTACATGTATATATATATATCGGCCTATGGCCTCATGGGAATACAAGTTGCATATTCCTAACATGGTATTAGAGCTTTAGGTTTTTTTTTAGCACGGGCAACTCGTGCGATCCAACCCTGTGCCGCCGGCCTTCTCCTTTGTCCGGCTGTGCTGTTCCGGCGTTGATCTCCTGCGGCCTCTTCCGTCGCGTCGCAGCCGCTGCCGCTGCTTCTTCCATTGGTCAACGCCCTCCCTCCCACGCTCGATCTCCATCAACGCCCGTGGTCGCTACTCTGCCTGAAGTCCTAATCCAGTGGGAGGATCCAACCGCCAGGTCCCGCCCGTGATCCAGTCGCCCGGTCCCGCCCACGATCCAGCTGCCCGGTCCTGCCCGTGACCCAGCCGCCAGGTCCCGCCCACGATCCAGCCACTGCTGCAGCCGGGTCCCAACTGCTCTCGATCAGTCGCCAGGTCCCGATTGAGACTCCTGATCGTTGGCCACCACTGATTCCTTGGGCCTGATCGAGACTCCTGCCGCAGCTGCAGATCCAGGCTCCTGATTATCGGTCTAAAAAAAAGGCGCGATGTCTCTGTCCTCGGGCTATGTTGCTGTCCCTCGTTGTCCGGTGATCTTTGATGGTACTAACTACACCGAGTTTACTGGCTTCATGCGCATTCACATGCATGGCATCCGTCTTTGGGGTGTTCTTTCTGGCGAGGTCTGCTGTCCGCCACGTCCAGTTCCTCCGGTGGCCCCTACTCCGCCAACTCCATCGGTTCTTCCTACGGATGCTAATCAGGCCGCCAAGGATGCGGCTAAGGTTGCTGATGAGGCTGCTGATCGTGCTTATGATGAGAGGGTTTTGGCTTATGAGGAGGCTCTTCAGACGTATCATGGTGCTCTGTCTGTTTACACCCAGTGGCTTGATGATGATGCTCGTGCTGCAGCTGTTCTCACTGCTAGTGTTCTGCCTCAGTTTGCTTCTGAATTTCTGGGTCTTTCTACTGTCTTTGAGATGTGGACCCGTCTTCGTGAGCGCTATCAGCCCTCTGGTGATGCCTTATACCTCTCCGTGATCCGTCAGGAGCATGCTCTTCAGCAGGGTGACTCTACTGTTGATGACTTCTATGCACAGAGTTCTGCTATCTGGCGCCAGCTTGATTCTCTTCGTAGTGCTGGGTGTCGTACCTGCCCCTGTTGCCAGGCTGTCCAGGCCAATTTGGAGTTTCATCGCGTCTATGAGTTCTTGTCTCGGCTCCGTAAGGAGTTTGAGCCCCGGCGTGCTCAGTTGTTTGCTCGTGGCCGTATTTCTCTCATGGAGGCGCTTTCTGAGATTCGTGCTGAGGAGACTCGCTTACGTGGTGCTGGTTTGCTGGAGGTTCCCTCTGTGCTCGCTACTCGTGCTCCTACGCCACTTGCTCCACCGACCCCTTCTCGCTCGAGTGCTCCGCCGCTCTTGCCCACTCCTTCTGGAGGCCCAGGTCGCCCCCGTCCACATTGCGCCTATTGCAACAATGATGGTCATCTTGAGTCTCAGTGCTACACGAAGAAGAAACACCTGCGCAAGGCTCGATCGTCATCTTCCGGGACTTCGTCATCTACCTCGACAGCTTCAGCCATTGCTTTGACTGAGCAGGATATTCTGAGACTTAAGCGTCTGCTCGCGGCTTCAGGTTCTTCCTCGACGGGTACTGCCGGTTCTATGACTGATGCTTCCCGCACTGAGCAATCACCCTCTACACAGTCAGGTACATCCCCCTGGGTTCTGGACTCTGGAGCTTCTTTTCATATGTCTTCTCATTCTTCCACTTTGTCCTCTCTTCGATCACTGGATTCTCCTATTCATGTCTTCACTGCTGATGGTACTCCACTTTCTGTTGCTAGTAGAGGCAATCTCACTACTCCTTATTCTGTTCCTGATGTTGCTCATGTTCCTCGACTTACCATGAATTTGTTTTCTGCTGGTCAACTTACGGATTCTGGTTGTCGCGTCATCCTTGACGTTGACTCTTGTTCTGCCCAGGACCGTCACACGCACACTCTGGTTGGGGCTAGCCCTCGCCGCCGTGATTCTCAGGGTCTTTGGGAGTTGGACTGGCTTCATGTTCCTTCTGCTGCCACCATCATCGTCAGTTCTTCCGCTTCTGTCGCCTCCGTCACTGGTTCCTTCCAGCAGTGGCATCATCGACTTGGTCATCTGTGTGGTTCTCGGTTGTCTTCTTTAGTTTGTCGAGGCCTTCTGGGGTCTGTCTCAGGAGATGTCTCTTTAGAGTGTCAGGGTTGTCATCTTGGCAAGCAGATTCAGTTACCATATTCACATAGTGAGTCAGTGTCTAAGCGTCCTTTCGATATAGTCCATTCTGATGTATGGGGTTCGGTCCCTTTCGCTTCGAAAGGTGGTCATAAATACTATATTATTTTCATAGATGATTTCTCTCGTTACACATGGCTTTATTTCATGACTTCTCGTTCTGAGGTGTTGTCTATTTATAAGTGTTTTGCTGCCATGGTTCATAC